CGGGGGTGGGGGCGGGCCCTCCCCGGGGCGCTGTGAACTTTAGCTGGGCCGCCGCCTGTCAGCCCCAGAAAGCGTTAAAGGTGCAGCAGCCCGCGCCAGCTCCGCAGCCGCCTTTGTACGCGTGATTTATGACTTCAATCTTGGTTCACCGAGAGTTCACACGGCTTTCGCTGCTGTTGAAGGTTAAAAGATGGTCTTCGCTTGACAAGTGGGACTATTGAAAATTCCTTCTTCTTCGTTTTTTTTTTTTTTAAAGAAGCGAAGAACGGAGGCTCAGGAGAGAGAGAGAAAAAAATTGGGGGGTGGGGTGCAGGGGACAGGGGTTGCAGGTGGGGAAAACGGTGAATCAGAAAAGTTCGCCCCCCGCTACATTTAGGATTTTTTTTGGAGCTAGGATTTGGGAGTATATGCGGGGGAAGGGGCGTAATAGGAGGAGCGAGGGAAGGGATTTTGGGTATCTTTGGAGGCCAAAGGAGTGGCAGTTTTAAAAACACAACTCGTGCTTCCACAATGAATTATCTGGATAACTTGGATCACACCTTACTGATCCTCCTCTTGAGACCAAAAGTGGGGCCAGGGAAGGAGAGAGCTTTGGGTGAAGGGCGGATGTGTGGCCCCCATGGTAGTAGGTGCCCACGAGGTGTGCTTGGCTGACCATTCACGTTGCCAGTAGCAGCTTTTCAAGGGCACCTTTGTACCCATCGATTTAGAAAAGGGTGCTTTTTGGTCCCAATTCTTTCAACTCCCTTCATCCTGCAGATTTAGCCTGATGTGCATATTTGATGCAAATGATAAGGCTGATGGAAAAAGTAGAACTGGGGTTGGAAATCCTTTCCAATACCACATCTCCTTGGTCCCCATCTGCTGGCTCCTTCTTCCTTCTAGCACTTTGAAGAGAGTGGTTCCATGGCAGAGATGGAGGTCAAGGATCTCCTAAAGGCCAGAATGTAAGGCCGTTGAGCAGTTGCAAGAAAAGAATCTGTCCTTCTTGTCAGATTCCCTGAGCGAGAGGAGATTCTCTGGAGCTGGGAGGATCTGAGCAGCTCTTTGAGGTTCCTTTAAGATATTTATAAATCCCCTGAAGTGGGAATTTGGGATTGTGGGTGTTTGGGAGGGGAGCAACTGAGAGCTGGTTCTGATATTGAGTATGCCTCCCTAGCCCTGTTTAGGCCCACCCCCACCATCGGTGATACCTCCCGCGTAGATGTCTTCTCAGGTCCCTCAAACTCTGATCCTGGAACAAGGGCACCCATACCAGAAGAGATGTTCCCTGTTTCCCTTCCTGCATGGAATTGGAGAGGCCTTCCACCACAATCTGAGGGCTCCTGGGCAATCCCCATGAGAAGGGATGGAGGAGGGAGAAGAGCAAAGCTGGCCACACCTTCCTGGGACACCCAGCACCAGCCCCTCCTGCACCCCATATACAAATAGTAGAACAGGCAGCAGGGAACAGGGAGAGCCCAGAAATCCAGAGTCCAGGTTCTAAGGTCACTTTGGCAGGAATGGCCCTCTGGCCTGAGGAAGAACTGAGAGGCAGTGTGGCTCAGTGAACTGAGTTCAGAGGCTTGGGGGGGATGATAGCTGTTGGGAGGAATCAGCCAAGGAAGCTAACGAATGTCTTCCAGGTTTGGGTTGAGAAACAGAGGAATGAACTTAAGGGCCTCTAGGAGTAATGGCTGTACCGAAGTCCCTTTCCCACCCCTTCTGACTATGTTCCTCTCTGGAAAATAATTTTAGTGGGCTTGTGCTAATCTGCAAGTCTGGAATAATTATGAATTATTAATTCATAATTAAGACTGTTGATTGTGACCATTGCCCTCCAGTGAGCTAATTGATTTCCTTCTCCTCTGTGAAGCACATGGCAGCCTCTGTTAGCCCCTGTCCTCAGCACAGCAAACTGAGGCCAGCCCCTTGAACTCAGCCCCTATGTGGAGTGGTTGCCTCATTACCAGTCAAGCTGCATTGTACCTCACAGAGTATTTGCACTCAATAAACTACCTCCCATTAACTTCAGATTTCAAAGTCTTCTCTACATAGGATTGGCTCTTAGAAAGATGGAGTGGAGACCGGAAGTGAGACCCCAACCAGGGAAGCAGCTGGGCCAAGCTTTGTGTGGAGACAGGGATTAAGGCCTGGTGGCACGACTCCCAGGTGCAACGCTCAAGTGATCTGGGATCAGGGATGGACATCCTGCCTCCCCTGCCCTGAAGTGATGCTGGCCTCCCTGAGCCCTCTGGGGACCCCTGAAGATGCACCTTTCTCCTTTTCCTGACCTCCCTTTCCCCCTAGCCCACTCCCCTGTAGGAGACAAAGGCTTCAAAATACACCACACCCTGGGATCCCTGGGATAGCTGGGGACAGGGAAGTGGGATCTGCCAGTTGTTTCACATCTGTAATGGCCTAGGGAGGGAGAAAACTAGGTCCCATGAGATAATAGGCCTCTGAATCCCTGCCTGCAGCCCTCCTCCACCTGCACTGAGACACCTGTCTTCATCCCCTCTGCCCTCCTTTCCTGCCTTCTCAAAATGCTGGTGGGGAGGACCAGGCAGCTCCCACAGCTGCACGTAGAGAGAGACAGAAGGAGGAAATGGGGAGAGGGTTCAGATCTCCTATGTCCCAGGACTCTTACCTCTATTCCTCAAACCCAGCTCGACACCACGATGCCAGGGCCTTCCCTCCTCCCTCCCACAACTCTCTCTCTTGGAAGAGGAGCCCTTTCTCCCTCCCTGAAGTGAGGGCTGCTCTAAGAACACCACCACCTTCCATAGGACATTTGGGGACCCAATCCCTATGCATCTCTCAGTGCGTGTCTGGTCCAGGGGAAGCCAGTGGCCCTGCCAGCACATCTCCACTTAGTGCCCTGGTGGAGTCATCTCAGCCACCATCCCAAAGCTCACTTGCTCTTCCTCTGGGCCACCCTGGCATCCCTGAGTTTCCCCTAAGCCAGGAGGCAGATAGGTAACCCATCCAGAGAGTCCTCTGGAGCTGGCAAGTATATTTTAATTTACTGTTTGACGGCAAATAAAGAGACCTTGGGAAAAAAAGGGAAGGAGCAACCATGCCTGGCGTCCTCCCTACTTGCCCCTCCTCTGGACATTGGCTTTCTCCATGAAACAGTGCACTGTTGTTCTTGGACAACCATTCTCCACCATCGCCTTCGAAGGGTTTGAGTTTCACCCTCCGTTCACCCCCATTAATCACCCCAGCAGCTAAACATCACCCAGCCCCCTCTGGCCCTTTCTCTTCTTCTTGCCCTTAGTATTCATGGCGGGCATTCCTCACTGCTGCGTGCCTCACAAAGACCCCTCCTCCGACACAAGGTCCCTCCCCCTCTCCAGCCACCCAGTCCCAGTGGGCACTACTCACTGGCTCCTGACATTCAGACTGCCAGCTCCCACTCTGGGACCCCATTCACCTGCCACACCCCCTCCTCCTACGGTACCCTCCATCCCATCCCCCACCACTACCTCCTGTCCAGTCTCTCCCACCCACCTCCCACTCCCTCCTCCATGCCCCATCCACGTGTAGCGCCTTTCTCCACTTCTCCTTGCTTCTCTTTCCCTTCCCCTCCCCCAAGATATTCCCTAGGCCCACAGATACTGGCTTTGAAGCACTTCCCTTCCAGCCTTGAGAATCTGAGAGGCAGCTTTTAGCACAGTGGCTAAAAGCATGGGTTTTGGATTCAGATCCCAGATCTGTCAGTTGCTGGTTGTACAACCTTAGGCCAATTACTTAACTTCTCTGAGACATCCATAAAATGGACATGCCCACCGACCTTATGGATTTGTTGTGCAGATCAGATTAAATTTTATTTACATAGATCCAAGCATTCAGCAGGAGCTTGATAAATGGTAGTTATTAATATTAGAAGCTTCTTGTTCATGTATGACTGAAGCATTATGCTGTACACTAGAAATTGACACAACGTTGTTAACTATACTTCAATAAAAAAATACATATACTGAAAAAAGAAAAATAAAGAAGTTTCTTGTAAGGAGAGAAAATGATGCACTTCAGATTCCAATAAAAGTGAAGGAATTGCCTCCTTCAGCATCTGAAAGGGAGGGATACCAGTGATAGAGTCTTGCAGATCAGCAGGGCCCTGGACCAGTAGTCACTCTCTTCTTTTAGCCCTTGAGGGTCTTATCTTTTGCCACACATTGGACCCCCCGCCTCGGGGAGTTTTAAGAAATACTGATGCCTAGGTCCAACCTCCTGAAATTCTAATTTGGTTGGTTTGGAGTAGTGCCCAGGCACCTGGATTTTTAAGAACTCTTCAGCTGATGCTAATTTGTAGCCAGGAGTTGAGGTATGGGCCCTAGGAAATGATCCAAGAGGTGGGAGGAGGGCTGTCACGTTGCCCTTTTCCTGTCTGTGAACCAGGCGCAGAGAAGGAAGGACCCTCAGCACGGAGCTTCTTCTCAACACAGGGCCCCGCAGCAGCCACTCTGCTTCAGCCACTTCAATCAGTTGGAGGGGGGGCTGTGATATAGGACCGGCTTCTCTTGAGATCTCAGAATTCCAGACGCCCATCCTTTGCTTTTCCTGCAACTATTGGGATTTTGAAAGGGGCCACCCCAAGAGAAGACAGGGGAATGGACAAATTGACCTCTTTGAGGACCTTCCCTCATCAGAAAAGGATATGATCCCCAGACCACCCATGACAGAGGCAGAGGCGGTTAGTGGGAAAATCTGTAGTTACATAGTAAATGGAGTTTCTACCTGGTTGCTACAATAATAGGCCAAGCAATTAGGATACAAGTTTCCAGGATCTTTTCCTCTATTTCCAAAAAGATTAATCACCCCCAGGAACAGAATCTGCATATTGTAATTAACTGATAAATATTTCATGCCTGGTTCAAACTTTCTCCT